AGGAATTTTAGGAAATTCTGCAGCAGTCGTGTATTTTCTATTTTCTGTACGATGAACAAGAGCCTGCCTCTTGGCCCTGGGCTGAATGTGGCGGACTACCTAGAGCAGGGGTGTCAAACATGGGCACTGGAGCAGGCCCCTGGAGGGCTTCTGTCAGCCCCGCAGTGGAACTGGCTTTTTTCCGCTTCTTCTTCCAGTGCTGCTGCTGCTGCGTCATCGTCGGTTTGCAGCTTACAGATACACACCTGAACAGCATACTCAAGATGGCAACAGCACAGACATTTTGATGCAGTAATTCAGAGCAAGAGGTGTCAGTTATCAGACACTGTTAAATAAACAAAATATTGCAAGTGTTTTAAGCATGTTTTTATTTTAAGTTTAAAAAAACGTTTGTGTCCTTTAAGGTTTATATCTTTGCTACCTGGCATGAAATTTTGTGACACACATGGCCCAGCCTAACAAGGTCCCATTTATGTCAGATCCGGCCCTCATGACAAATGAGTTCGACACCCCTGACCTAGAGAGAGCAGTCTCCAGTGTGAACAGAATCCCCACCCTCCCATTGTGGCATGTGCCTTTTGGCTGTGCTGGATTCTCAGCAGTTCTACGAGTAACACAACTTTTCTTCTTCTTCCCAGGTTTTCCTGAAAATAGAAGAAAAGGATATCGAGCATGCCCTCAAAGACGGCATCTTGGTTGGAAGCATCTTGGCTGGGGGGCTTTGAAGGGGTTGCACTTCTCTCCCCTTGTCCGGAGGATCTCTGCCGTGGCCCACTTTCTTCCCGGGCTGTTACTTCTTTGCAACAAGCTTTGCTGAATCACATCAGTTAGCGGAGGCCTCTGAATACTGGGGCATAGGGTTTTTTAAAAACCATCTTGGTGCATCTTGTTGTAAAGATGCCCTGTTTTTTGTTTTCAAAACATTTCTTTCCTAAACCATTAAGATGTCTGTCGATTGACTCCACTTCTGGATGAAAATGGGGGGCCCTGCAGTCTCTTAATGTTCAGGATGCAAACCTTTACATGTCACCAAAACACCTCCCCTTGCTTTCCTGGTCTCTTGAACGCCAGAGGGAAATCCCCCCCCCCATTTTGACATCCTTTTCTTCACTACGCCACCCCTCCCATCTGTACGCACACATTGGAACTGTGCGTGCTGTTTCTGGTGTATGCGTTGCACACGTCTTTAGAACATCAGAGAAGAAGGAGGACAGCGGGTGTCAGCAAAGAGAGCCCCTGTTCGCAGAAACAAAAACCCTTAACGTCGCAGGAAGAACTCAGAAGGCAGCTGCGTCTCTCCCAAGTTCTTTGAAGTTGGACTGTTTCCGTGAAGCAGATGTCAGTCTTGTTAAAGCTTAGCGTCTCAGGAGCTGGAACAGGGCTTAGTGGGGGGGGGGGCCGCACACAGACCTGCAGGCTCTGCGCTTCTTAACATTTCTGAACTGTGGATGCGGCCGTGACATGGAGACTAGGTTAGGCCCAGGGGGCAAAGCGCTGGCTCACTTCTGAGCTGGTTCTTGCAAAGAATCGGCTGGCTTGGTCTGACATCTTTAACGTGAATTTAATAAGAGTGTATGGGGTGGATTTCTGAGTCAGAACCCGCGTTGTGTATGTGTCTTTGCGAATCCTTTTATTTTAGCTGAATGACCCAGTTTGCACATGAATTGTTATGCATGTTCCTCTTCCTTTAAAGTCGCTTCCAATGCAGTGAAGGACAACATTCTGGACTCTCTGTTTGCCCCCCTCTGCCCTTGGTCCAATGTACACACAGCCAGATATTTTAGCAGCTGGAATATGAATTTCCTCTCATTGTTTTTTTTTAGTACATAGATTAAATAGATTTACTATTTGTATGCATGTATCATTTTGTTTGACTGCTCATATCAGAACTACAAGCCGTAGTTCTGATAAGAGTTCTGCTCATATCTTCATCTTTGGTTGTCAGAGGGCCTGGTTGGGCATTTAACACTTGGCCCTTGCAATTTAAAGGACCTGAGGAAGGTGTTGAGAAATGTCTGTGAGGCCCTGGACAGTTGCTGCTACTTGGTCTGAACTGAACTAGAGGGACTTTGTATAGGGTGGCTTCATAAGGTTGTATGAGACAGACAGGCTTTCCTAGAGGATTGGGACATTCTGGTTCCCTTGTGTGGGAGTTCCGAGTTCTGCTGATGTTGTCTCATTATAATTTCTCCCAAGTAGCTTTTTTGTGAACCAAAGAACTACCTTTTTTGCAGTGCAAAGGAAGTATAAGCAACGATTTCCTGCATCTACTCCCCACGTCACTTCCAGCATTCCCTATAAGCTCAGATATCAAGTCTGCTTCGAGCCCTCCTGATCAGTTACATATCTTTGTAAACACAGTGACAAAAAAATAGTTGAAAAATTCGGCAACAAGTGAAACACCAGGCAGCTGAAATGGCTTTTATGGTAGTAAGTACTTATGATGGCTTAAATATAAACCTATTAAATGCTATGAGAACAAAGTTTGAGTCCAGTGGCAGCTGTAAGACCAACAGAGTTTGATTCTGGGTATAGGCTTCTGAAGAAGTGTGACTGCACACAAAAGCTGATACCTAGATAGAATTAAACTCCGTTGGTCTTCAAGGTGCCCCTGGACTCTAAACTTCGTTCTGTTGCTTCAGACCAACACGGCTTCCCCACCTGAATCTATATTAAGATATATTACATTTACGAATTGTCAGCTATTCAGGTATTTTTTTGCACTTGGAGATGAGAATTTCACACATGTTCTTTATCCAGAAATGCCACCCATCTCACCATTCACTGGGTCGCTCTGCCATTGTTTCAGAGTTTTGCACAAGTTGTGGCTCAATCACTGTTACTTCAGTTTGGTTTAGTGGTTAAGTGCACAGACTCTAATCTGGGAGAACCGGGTTTGATTCCCCACTCCTCCACTTGCAGCTGCTGCAACCTTGGGCAAGCCGTAGTTCTGCCAGAGCTGTCCTTGAAAAAGAGCAGTTTCTGCCAGAGCTCTCAGCCCCACCTACCTCACAGGGTGCCTGTTGTGGGGAGGGAAATGGAAAGGAGTTTGTAAACTGCTCTGAGACTCCGAGTGGAAGGCGGGTTATAAATCCAATCTCTCCAAGAGCCAGTTTGGTGTGGTGGTTAAGTGCTCAGACTCTAATCTGGGAGAACGAGGTTTGATTCCCCACTCGCAGCTGCTAGATGACCTTGGGCAAGCCATAGTTCTGATAAGAGCTGTTCTTGAAAAAGAGCTTTTTTTTGAGCTCTCTCGGCCCCACCTACCTCACAGGGTGCCTGTTGTGGGAAGGGGAAGGGAAAGGAGTTTGTAAGTCGCTCTAAGACACCTTTGGGTAGTGAAGGGCGGGGTATAAATCCAATCTCTTCTTTTTCTGTGGGCCAGAGGAGTTGGGTAAGCATTAGAGCGAGACACGGACAAAACCTTGGTGGTAAAACTTGGACCGCCTCCTCCTTTAGCCGTTCTGCAGCGTTATCCTTTTAGCCAGATGCCTGAAGCTAATCAACAACTCAAGATCTCTGCTTCGGCTGTGCTGTTCTCTCATTCTCTTGGCGCTCAGCCCCTTTCGTGTGAAAAGCTTTGCTTTAAGCGGAGTGGCAGGACAGAGGAGTCCCTTGAAAAGCATCTTTCTGGCGAGATGAGGCAGATCGGCGCATCCCTTTGCCCGTAGCAGAGTGGCATGACTTGGCTCATCTGCAGCCCTGGCGGTCGGCTCCTGTATTCCACAACAGTGCTAAGTTTTCGAAAACTCTGACAGTATTAAGATAAACCATCCCATCCCACCAATAAAAAAAGGATGTTTTGTGGCGAAATGCTCCCTCTTTCTTTCCTTCCTTCCTTCCCTCCCTGCTATAGGGATTTTTTTCTCCTGGCCTCTCTCGTTCCTCTGGCACCTCATGATCCATTCCTAGGTTTTGGGTTCCCACCAGCACTGCTGGCAAGCAGTGCTCGCAGCAAGCCAGCTTTCAAAGAGTTAAAGACCTAGAGCGGGCGCAGCTAATGGGAAGCAGGCGGCAGGAAGGATTGGGAGCAGATGGGCAGCTGGATTTTAAATCATTCTTTGCTGGCTGCTGGGACCTTGAAAACCAGACAGCCCTCAAATACATGGGCACCTAGGGTTCCCTGTGAGGTCAGGTGTGTGTTTGCGTGTGCATTCTGCAGGCTGAGTCAACTATTTCTCCGGCTTTCCGAGTTTTCAGCCAGGATGGGAGATGGTGAGTGGAGGGAGAGGATGGGGTATGCAGAGTAACAAAACACATAAAGATATGCACAGTGCAAGGAGTGCTATTAGTCTAGGAGATGAGCGCAGCGCTACGATGGCCTTGAAGGCCCGTTCTGCATCTTTGTCCCCATATCTCATAGCTCTTAGATTTTTCCCTTGGTGCTATGGGGGGGGGGGAACCAACTGCTTTTTCTTGGCCAGGTTGCTTTGGAGGTGATTTGGGTAAGGGCTTCAGTCCTTGGATTAGGTCACAGGTCCCCAATGTGGTGCCCACAGGTGACACAGTGTGCCCGCCAACTCCTCTCCTGGTGCTTGCCAAGTGTTTTTTTGGAAAGTGGGAGGGGCCACATGGGGCTTTTGCCCAACAAGACTTAAGAAAGTAAGAGAAGCCATGTTGGATCAGGCCAGTGTCCCATCCAGTCCAACACACTGTCACGCAGTGGCCAAAACCCAGGTGCCATCAGGAGCTCCACCAGAACTCTAGAAGCCCTCCCACTGTGGGCCCCCAAGCACCAAGAACACAGAGCATCACTGACCCAGACAAAATGTTCCATTAGGGTTGTCAGCCTCCAGGTGGGGCCTGGAGATCTCCGGCTTTTACAACTGATCTCCAGCTGACAGAGATCAACTCCCCTGGAGAAAATGGCTGCTTTGAACGGTGGACTCTATGGCATTGTACCATGCTGAGGCCCCTCCCCAAACCCCACCCTCTCCTGATCCATCCCCAAAGTCTCCAGGTATTTTCCAACCCAGACTTGGCAACCCTATATGTTGTGGCTAATGGCCATTGATGGACCTCTGCTCCATATGTTTATCCAATCCCCTCTTGGAGCTGGCTACGCTTGTAGCCGCCGCCACTTCCCGCAGCAGTGAATTTCACATGTTAGTTACTCTTTGGGGGAAGAAGTACTTCCTTTTATCTGTTCCAAGCCTACTGCTCATGAATTTCATTGAGTGTTCACAATTTATGAGAAAGGGTGACCAAGTACTTCTTTCTCTACTTTATCAAATGCATAGTTTTGTAGACTATCATGTCACCCCTCAAACATAGTTTCTTTGATTGGCTACTGGAGATTTGATTGGTTGTGCAGATTTTAAAAAACTTTGCTTTGGCAGCAGCTGTCACCACAGCACAAGAATCTTCACTGTGTAACTGAAGGCAAGCTGTGGCAGCCATTTTGTGGGTACCTCAGCTTCCTGCAGTGGCCATTTTGTGGCTGTGCCAGAATTCCAAAGATGCCTGCAGGCTTAAAAAGATTGGGTATCTCTGAATTAGGTTGTTTGGGATGATGAGTTCTACACAATTTGTTCAGATTCTTAAGTCTACTTGTTCTTGATTACTTTGTCCCACCGCCTTTCCAAGAACAACTGATTTTTTAAAACTTTTGCTTTGTTTATAATCTACTTTTCTCGCTGAGATCTGGGCAAACACAACCAGGACAGAGGTTCTGTCTAACAAGGTGGGTTATGAAACAGTGCAGACAGACAGTGTAAGACAACCC